TTCTTGGGCTTTTCTTGAAGCATGTGGGTGAGGAGAAGTTTTGCCCTTTTCCACGTTTGGACCAATTGAAGCCACCTTCATAGTTCTCTATGCCTGTCTATGGTACGTATTCCCAAGATAAGATCTCATTCTGGGCTCTAGACCCTAGACCATCTTCTACTGAATTTTATGTATAAAGGCATTTTCTGTCATTTGAAGTAAAAAAAATATGTACTAATTAATTAGCTAAATACTTAAATACATATATCCTGCCATTTTAATTCTGTAATGTATCTAAACCGTATAACAGTCGGTTTTCAAATGTTAGACTTGGTAGACAGCTTTCTTTTGGACTTTGCACTTCCAAGAAGAATTGACTTTCAAGCTCCACCTCTGAGGCTTAGTTGGATTCTTGCTGTTCGGCTATACATAAAAAGAAAGGTGTCTCGTTAAACGTGGTCAGTCACAATGCAGATTCGTGGGATTTCATAATTTTCTATGTACATTGCATTTGTCCGGCTGCCTGCTGTAAAACTTTTTGGCTTTTGAATATTCTTCTGGTGTCCCGAACTTCCTGCTTTTTGACAGGAATCGGTCATGGGTACAAGTGCTATTGGGTATTGGGACCAAGTTCTAGTCAAAAGATCACCTTTAATCAAAGTCTAGGAAGGAAGTTCATGGCAAAAGTCTCGAAGGTGTTACAATTGTACAAGCACCTACCAAAACAGAGCACTTACTTGCACAAGCTTAGCAAGACATAACCAAGAGTTTTATTACTATAAAAGTTGTGGTCCCATCCCAAGTTCAATGTCAGACTTTAACCAACTTGATTCAAATGATCCTTGTATCTCGTGTAAGCTGCAATTATCCACCCCTTATGCTTTATGAAGTCATTATCAATGGAAAACCAAGGAGGCGGGGAGAGAAAAACAACGAGAAATGTGACAGAATACATGTTTTGTTTTACAAATATTCCTATTATTTCATGCCGAACAACGTTTTGGCAGCTTCCATGCGTGACATGGTTTTCCATCTTTTGTAAGAGGATAAGTCAAAAGTTAAGAAAAAGATGCGCAGCAGCACTGTTTAGACTCTGTCCTGATCAGCTGTTGAAGCTTTTGATTATTTCATTGGCGACCCATTTATGTTTCTGGTGGGGTCTGAGATGAGTGTCTTCATAGAATTCAATTCCCCCCCGAGTCCCCACTCGATGCTTGCATTTTATGTATGCTCAAGGTGTGCTTAACGGGGGCACATGATTTCCCCCTTTTGTAAGGAGAAATATTCTTCACTTCCTAGGGAGGTTGTTAAAAGATCAATGTCAAGCTGAATCTATAATTTGTTGAAAATCTGATAAAATATATAGCCCCCTTGTCGTTGGTTGATCTTTGTTGACCTTGAACTACAACCTCAAGGCATGGGATTTCTGCCGAAAGATGGGATTAGCTAGGAAAAGGCAGGCAGATGGGGCAAAATACTGAAATATTCAATGCCCTGTGCTCTTTTTGGCTCCTCCTCTCGCCATAGGTTAGTTACCCTTAACCACCATAGATTTAGAATTAATCCCCACTAATAAATCCAGGGAATCTCTGGCAGAAAAAAATGAGAAATCAATTGACTATTGAAAGCTTGAGAGAGAGAATTATCTTGGACTAATGTAACCCATCCATTTTAAGATTAGGTTTGATTCTCTTGATTAAAAATTTCAAAACTTTCCGGTAGCAGTAGTGATGATTTTGTCGAAACAAGTGGGAAATGAAGATAAGAAAGCCTTTCCTCTATTATTTTTATTTTCTTTTATATATTATTTCACTGGGTCGTTAATTCAGTTAAATTCAGGGGTCGCATGTTCAGACTTTAGGGTCTACATCATGTCTGGCAGCCACCACCGCTCCAAGCCAAAAGTTTCTCCTTGTTGCTTGGTCTTATGCATTAATTTTTGACTGTAAAATACCGAGTAAGACTATTTAAATTATCAGTCAGTCGCCTTCCCAGCATCATCCATATTGCGGAGTATGTAATGTTCTCTTCAACATATCTGACCCTTCAATCTTGCTTTACTGAAACGAAAAGGTCAGACTCAAATTTGCAGACAAATCTTTCTCTATAAAGTGTTGTTCTTGACCTGATCCATCCTCTCTCTCCTGGTTTCACAATTTTCCTAACCTCTTTACAAATTGGTTCTGTCATAAACGCTTTTGTTTGAAAACAGGGGCTTCAAAACATTTATTTGGCTTTGATTTTTGAAACCCTTTTTGGTTGGTTCTTTGAAGTTTAAGAGAGCTTGGTCATCCGGGTAGTTGTTTCTAGACTAGGATTTTGTATTTCGTTTCTCTCCTTGAATTATCTTGAACTGAACTTGGCCTGTTTGAAAGGGAGTGTTGGGAAATTTAGAGGGATTTCCAAATCTTCTAGCGGCCATCTGTCAGTACAGAGTTTCTCTTGCTGGCAGTTTTAATGGTGAAGAAAGATTGAGGTAGTTACACTGGTAGTTGGGATTTCAGGTTCGCGTCACGAGAAAATTTGGTTTTGTCACAAGAAGTGTTAAGGGCAAGTTCCGATTCTCAACTGCTTTCAGTGATTGTGATAAGCCTTTTTTCTACTGCTTAGCGTTTTTCTTGGGAAAACAGAGAGGAAGAGTGTGTGTGTGAGAGAGAGAGAGACTTCTGTCTGCTTCTTTGTTTCCCCTTACATGTCCTTACTGTGTTTCCACTATGAATCATTCTGGGGCAGCCTTTGATCAGAAAGCAGCAGTTGAAGTCACAAAGGATAGAAGTGGAATTGATCAGGTTCTGCTTCGGAATCCCCGAGGGGCATCTGCAAGGGTCAGAATCTTTTCGTTTTCCTTTTCTTTTTCTCCTCCTTTTCTAGTCTTTTCATAGTTTAAGGTGTCAGGAATAGTGACAAGTTGAATACGTTGAAGAAAAGTTCAAAACTAAATTATATGCTTGATTCTGATTATCATTCATCTTCATTCAAACTGCAGTTTTGGGTTAAATAGTGATATTATTGATGTAATCTGTACAGGTTAGCTTGCACGGAGGACAGGTTCTTTCATGGAGGACTGACCGAGGAGAAGAATTGCTATTCACAAGTAGCAAGGTAACATTAACATCTGGTGTCTTACTCATATTTATATTCTGCTGGCATATGATTTTTATCAATCCTTAGATATAGGGCCAAAATTGTGGTATATATCAATCATATTCCCTGAAAATGTGGTTTCTCTTTCTGACTTCCTGTACTGTAGGCAATCTTCAAGCCACCATATGCAGTGCGAGGAGGGATTCCTATCTGCTTCCCGCAGGTATTTGGGTTTATATGTTTATATGCATCAGTTTTCTACCAGTCTGGATGCATCTGGTTGATGGATTTGCTTCCAAATTTGTTAGTTTGGACAGCGAGGATCACTGGAGCAACATGGGTTTGCCAGGAACAGGACTTGGGTCATTGATGATAACCCACCACCATTGAATCCAAATGATTCCAGTGGCAAGGCCTATACTGACTTACTGCTAAAGCCATCAGAAGATGATTTGAAGATCTGGCCACACAGGTGAGGTCTTAATATGCCATGGATCCTTAGGAAATTGTTTAATTCATCAGTGAAATTGCTTATAGTCTGTCAATCTTTGACGATTAAGCTAAGATTAAAAAGGGTTATCCTCTGCTATAACAGCTTCTTTACAGTATTAACTAACATGACACATTCACACTCTCATGAGCTTATAGCAACCTAGCTGAATATTAATGTTCATAATTAATTAAGTGTATTAACGATTGATGTATATCTTTTCTAGTTTCGAGTTCCGTCTTCGGGTATCTTTGACAGCAGATGGGAATCTAAGCTTGATATCACGCATCAGGAATATCAATTGCAAGCCCTTTAGTTTCTCAATTGCTTATCACACATATTTCTCGATCTCTGATATCAGGTACAGAATACTCACCGTGGTATGAAAGTGGTTATAGCTTAGGCGTCAGCAACATATCAATTAACTGATCTGCTTTTTTCTATCTTTCAAGTCCTTTGACCATTAGTTCACTATAATTTCTTTGTGGCAAAAAAGTAATACACTCAGTCATGGGAAACAAGAAGTTTTAGACATTAATGGATATCTTTTCTTGTACCAATAAACAGTGAAGTGAGGGTTGAGGGATTGGAGACTCTTGACTATCTTGACAACCTCCGGCAAAGGGAGCGCTTCACAGAACAAGGGGATGCCTTGACATTTGAATCTGAGGTAAATCATTCTCTATTTGTTTGAGAGCTTAGGTCCTCCTCTACTGTCCCAGAAATGGAAAGCTTTTAAGTTCTAGGAAACAGATTGAAACTAGAGGTAAAAAGAAAGAGAAAACCCCTCAAAACATAAGCATTCAGTTGAGAAAACATTATGCGGATCCCAAGATACTGCACAAGAATTTCTCCATCCATCTGCATAAACATATCATCTAGCGTATTGCAAGACAAAATTTTATTTATCCATATGGCTGAACAGATGTTTAAGCCTTAATTTCTGATTTTCAATTTGCAGGTTGACAGAGTTTATCTTAGCTCTAGAGATATCATTGCAATTTTCGATCATGAAAGAAAACGGACCTTTATGGTACAGAAAGAAGGACTTCCAGATGTTGGTAAGCTTTTATCCTCTTCAATTCAACCTAAAACAGTACTAAAAGAGGTATATATGTGAACCACCTGGGAGAATCAGAAACGGTATTCATATCCCAAAACCTTGTGGAGGAAACCACGCTAGTTATTTGAAGATCACTGCAGCTCGAATTCAATCCAAGCCAAAAATCTGGCCCTGATGTTTAATTCTTTTGCATTTGTTCAGGGGTTTGGAATCCATGGGAGAAGAAATCCAGAACCTTGGTTGATTTTGGGGATGATGAATACAAACAGATGCTTTGTGTCTATGGGGCAGCAGTGGAAAAGCCAATCACCTTGAAGCCGGGTGAGGAATGGACAGGCCGTCTGGAGCTCTCAGTTGTCCCTTCAAGTTAACGAAATGGTTATCATCTTGAACCCCACATCGAGCCTCATCTTCTAAAAATGACAGCAAATAATACAAATTAGCGTCTCCCTCCACGGCATCTATCAAACAGAGGCAACATGAATCCGTTAATTTGTATTCAATTGTTTATGATACTAAGCAAATAAGAGATTTGATCACTTTGCAAAGTAATTGATTCAAAGTGATCATGAAAAATGTAAATTCCTGCAAGTGGAGATCTGTCTTTTAGTGTTTCTCCATGGTAGTAATGTTGCAACCGGAACTGATCAACATAGATTGTTTTAGTCTCTATCTCTATACGAATACATGTGTGTGTATATATATATAATATATCCATTACCTGGCAAAATAATGGAGCAGATGATGTTCATATATGAAGGCCAGGGAAATCTAGCAGCTGAGAACTCTAACCAAAATCTTCATTATCTGAAATGTAAAACGTTAAGGAGAGATGCAGGTGCAAGAACGTTCAGACTTCAGAAAGGTTAGACATACAATGTAAATGAAAGGAGAAAGGTTAGACATACAATGTAAATGAAAGGAAAGAAAAAAAAATGGAAAAAGGTGTTGGCCAGCCGAGCTACTCTACTATCAGAGCCAGGTTTCGATCCTGGGACCTGTGGGTTATGGGCCCACCACGCTTCCGCTGCGCCACTCTGATGCTGATAATATGGCTAAGAAATTCCTAATTTATAGTTTACGAAGACATAAAAGCCCAGAACATTCTCCACTGGGCCTTTATCAGTATGTAGCTGTGTAGTAAATCAAACCGTGTCGTGGTCTTGTTTCTTATACTCTCATCCGATGAAAGTGAGCCATGATTTAATGAACCCAGTGTTTTGTTTGATTTCTTGACTCTATACAAAAAAGAGAGAAAGTTATATATATTATTGATTTATAAAAATTTAAATAAATTTTTATTTTTTTATTACATTCAATCAAAATTTTATATTTTAATTTTAAATTAAATAAATATTTCTAATAAATAATTAATTAATTGTTATTATTAAAATATTACTCTTTGTTAATAGATAATAACATAAAATATTAATGTGACATTTTCACATCTAAATCAATATTACGTTAACATCTCGTATATAAAAAATAAAAAATAATATTTTAATTAATAATAATTAATAAATTATTAATTATAAACATTTATTTGATCTAAAATAAAAAATTTTTTGATTAAAAGAAATAAAAAAGGGTAAAATTTATGTGAATATCCTTAAATAGTTTAAGAATATTTTTAAACATTATGTCAACATTATTTAAAAAGACCAAACTTATACACAAAACAACAAAGCTTTTCTTTCTAATACCTTAAAAGAGTACTTCACAAAATAAAATACAACCATATATAAAATAGTTTTGACCTTAATTATTAGCTAAAAAATGTGAAAATGAAAGCTTGCATGAAATTACCTTGAATTTGCAAGCACCAAGATGTAGCTTGAATGGTAGGAACTAGGAAGCTTGGGATGGCCGGGTAGGTTGCACATTACATATCGATGCAACCAGATAGAAGAAAGAAACCCACTATCGAAGCTTTCACGTCCATACCCCAAAGGCCAAGGGCCCAATGGCCATGACTAAGATTAGCCGCCCTATCTGATTGCTACTCGAGCAATCGCCCCTCCACGAATATATTCCCATTCTAAACCGGATGAGGCCAACTTGACGAAATCAAATCAGAGTTCATTGCCTTGGAATTACTAGACAATTGCATATGGTTTTCCTCAACAAAACGTCTGCCTCCCAACTATATACCAATAGTCTCAATTCACTCCTCCTTTCCTCAAATGACAAATATTCTTTGCCTCCTCACTCATGTCCCAAATTATGCACTCGTGCATCAATTATATATCAGAGTAATATATGTATGTAACAAATTCCTTTTGCAACCCACCCTCCTTTTCTTTTTTAATTTCATTTAAATATTTTTGGTAAGTATAATAATTGGATCCTCCCAATAAGCAGTTGAGAAAATGCTGACAGGTGTTATTATTATTGTTTTTTAATTTAATTAATTCGAGCTCTTTATCGTAACATATGTAGTACCTGAATGGAGCGGGGCGCCTTTTTTATCTAGCAATTTGGACAATTGTTATTGAAATTTTCGACCAAACTTTGTATGCGACAACGACAATGATTTTAAAGCTTTTCGGATGGGAGCCATAAGAACACAAAGAGGTAGTTAAAATGTTTGTTGAAGCAGATGGAGACATACATTAGGGAGTGGAAGTGGACAATTTAATGGGGGGGAAGGAGAAGGACGAAGATGATCAATTCTTAATAATACCAACCACCATAGCCACTCTCTTAACTCCATCTGAAAGGACAACAAATTATTAAATAAATGAGAGAAAAGAAAATAAGAAGAAAAAACTTGACCAACTCATGTTCATCAACCTGTTTAATTGATCTTCGTGCAGTCAAGTTAATTAGGTGGAGCCTTTTTTACCTTTCTTTTTCTTTTTGGTTAATTATTGAAGCAAGAGTAATTATAAAGATTACCAAAAGTGGTTGAAGGTTTAAATTATAAATGATTAATAAAAATTGAAAAAGTTGTTTAATTATTTTAAAAAAATTATTTTTTTATTTTTTATTACATTCAATTAATTTTTTATATTTTTTATTTTAAATTAAATAAATTATTATTATTAATAATTAATTATTATTAATTTATTAATTAAAATATCACTTATCTTTTTTTATTTATATAACATTTGATGTAAATGATGAAAATATTACAAAATTATATTATCATATCATATTATTATTTATTATAATATTTTAATATCGCGTGACATAATAATTAATATTTTATTTAATATTAATTAATTAATTATTAATTATAATTTATTTAAAAATTTATTTAAATTTTATAAATAATTTATAGAATTTTATTTTTTAAAAAAGGTGCATAAAACATGTCAATTCTGATTGATATTCAGTCTTTTTTGCATATTAATTAACTTTTTTTTATTTAATTCACAAAAGTTGAACTAGTGGATTTTGGTGGACGAATGGGTGTGAGATCAGCATATAAAAGACGAAACAACGAGATAACGACAAATAAGGATACAGTTACTGAATGATGATTTAAGACAGAAACTTCTTGCCCTTAAAATATTTGGATAACATTTTTCTGGATATGAAGTTATGGAGCACTTATTTATTTATTTATTAAAAAAAACAGAAATTAGTTCACAAAAGGTTGGTCAAGCTAAAATGTCAAAACCTCCAAATCAATGTTTTTAAAAGGAAAGTTAATTCCGTGGATGTCTTACAAAAATAGAAAAAAAAAATGTTAAGAGGTCTTATTTTTAGTTACTAAACGACAATAAAGCGGCAAATGTATGGACCGCTGTGAGTACGAACTTTCACTTGCTCTAATTGGGAAAAAAAAATTGAAAGATATCTACAATGCTTATATTTAAATATTGACATAATATTTAAATAAAATTTTAAATTATTTTAAAAATATTTAAGTAATTTTTATTTTTATTATATTTAATTAAAATTTTTATATTTTTATTTTAAATCAAATAAAATTTTATAATTAATGATTAACTAATTACTATTAATATAAACGACACTTTTAATTTTATATCTACATCGTAGTAACATAATATTGATGTGGAATATCATAATTGTCAAATGATCATGTTATCACATCAAAATAATCTGTCATATCATTATCAATTATGATATGTCAACATATTATATCATCATCAATTATGATATTTTAATATTCCACATCAACATCACGTTGTATAGAATAATAAATAATATTTTTACTAAATTAATTATTAATAATAAAAATTTATTTAATTTAAAATAAAAGTAAAAAGATTTGATTGAATATAATAAATATATAAGGATTTATTTAAATTTTTTAAAATAGTTTAGGGGCTTCCTTGTATATTATGTCTTAAATATTTAGTTTAATAATAAATTAACATATATTTATATAAAAGTAAAATTTAAAATTGATTTTTAAATAAAAATAATATCAAGTGCTTAGTGTTAAGACTAGGAATATTGTTTTCAAACTTTACATTATATCCTAATTTTAGAAAAAAAAATCTTACAAAAAAATGTTGGGAGCACTATTTTAGTCAAATACTATTTATTTATAGTTTTAAGACTTTTACACTTTTTAATTAGTGTACCTTTTTGAACTAAAATAATTTGAGATCATGGACAAATTTATCGTTATATTATGAATTAATATTGAAATTTGTTATTGTATTTTTTAATTTCGTTGATTTTTTTCATAACGTAAAAGAATTTATGTAAATTTATTATTTATGCTAGTAATATTTCAATTTGATTAGTTTTTTTTAAAAAATTAATTAAATTAAAAATACAATAATAAAAATTTGCATTTATAACTTTTTTTTACAAAGGGGAAAAAGATAAAATTTTATTATTTTTATTCAAAATCAGTAAAATTAAAAATGTAATGATAAAATTCAATAAATTAAAATGTGATCAAATTCAGTGTATAATTATAATGAAAAGTTTGATCTTCATCTTAAATAGTCTTAGGAAACTGCTTCTGAAAAATGCAATGTCAGAGGACAAGAGGACGGGTCCAACGGCGTCGTCCGAAAGCATCAGATCGAACGGTCAACAAAATATTTTCACAATCCCGTATCAACGGCCATTACTTCCAAAACACGTAGGCCCCACACCTTATTTGTAGTCACCGTAAACAGACGACAGAACAGAGCGGCACCCCAGTGAGACCCCTTTGTTCATCACCCATATTTAATGATTGGCCCACATGTCAGCGTCTTAAATCGCCACGTCACTAACGCCACCAAATAAAGTTAAGAACGGTGGTTTTCCGTTCGAGTTTTCACCGGTTTTTTCTCCACCAGCCGGTTACGTTATAAAGCTCCCTACTCCTCTCTATTTCTCCCCCTGCTTCCTCAATTTAATGTCACGAAAAAAATATAGCCGTTGCTAATAATCAGAAAAAGAAAAATCCAGCAAAAGCTTCATGTATTTGCTATTTATATACTTGTTTTTTTTATCCTTTTAGCTTCAAGTCAGTGATTTGGTTCCATTTCTGAGCATTGTAACTGTCTCGAGAAAACGAATAACAATTTCTGTGTTTTTCTTTTCTATCTTATAAAAAGAAAATTCATCATTTCCTTTGCTTTTTTGAGCCATTTCTTAATTATTACTATTCCATTCTCACACGCTTTGGATGCTACTTTAGCTAGAGAAAATAATCATAACAATTTGCATTTTCACCTCTTTGGCCTTTGTTCTCACATTCTCTCCCTCTCTGGGGTTGGTGAGTGAAAAAGGCAGAGTTTTGAAGTATTCAACTGAGCAAAAGAAGTGAACTTGGAAGCAGAAGAGGTTTTGAGGAGTGCAGATCTAGAAACCGAGGTAAGTGTCAAAGTAGTAATTTTTTATTTTCCAATAGTTTGTGATTCTAAAGAGTTAGTTTGATATTGGGTTTGGTTTGGATTTGGTTTTGAATTCACTGGGATTCAAGTTTTCAACTTTTTGGTTGAAAAGCTAAAGAACAAAGAACAAAAAGGAAAGAAGGAAGCTGGTTTTTTTAGTGAATCGTAACAATAAGGAGTCATACCGTAACAGAGTTTTGTACTGTATTTGCTTAAAGAATAGAAATTGGGTTTCTGGCAGGGTCTCTTTTTTGACTAAAGACACCTCACTCAAAGCCTGCGAGCTCATTTTTTAATGTGAAAATCCCCAGAGCCCGCCACTGCTTTTTTCGACAATTATCTTGGAATCTGACCTTTATTTTTTGGTTTTCCCTCCTTAGTCCTCCCTTTACATTCTGGTTCTACAACTTATTTTAAATTATTTTGAGTTGTTTACCATTGTTTTTTGTTCTCTATTGTTCTTCCAGCAGCTTAATACCAATAGAGGTAAGGAGGGGAACCAGGAAAATAGCAGAAACAGCTCGTTTTTTGCTTCAAGTGTTAGGTAAGAGAGAGAGAGAGAGATGGAAGCTTTGCACATTTTCTCTTGGATTTGCTTCTTGGGTTTGGTTTTGTTTCAAGGAAATGCAGACCTAGTTGAAGATAAGCAAGCATTGCTTGATTTTGTTAACAACCTGCGCCACTCTCGTTCTCTTAACTGGAATGAGACTTCTCCGGTTTGTAATAACTGGACAGGAGTCACTTGTAACGCTGATGGCTCTCGGATAATAGCTGTTAGATTGCCTGGAATTGGATTGCATGGCCCTATTCCTGCCAATACTATTAGCCGCCTCTCAGCTTTGCAGATTTTGAGTCTTAGATCCAATGGTATCAGTGGTCATTTCCCTTCTGATTTCTCTAATTTGAGAAACTTGTCGTTTCTTTATCTTCAATACAACAACTTCTCTGGTCCATTGCCGGTGGATTTCTCTGTTTGGAAGAATCTAAGTATAATAAATTTGTCCAACAATCGATTCAATGGGAGTATTCCTAGTTCGCTGTCGAATTTGCCTCACCTTGAGTCGTTGAATCTTGCAAACAATTCACTTTCTGGTGAAATTCCTGATCTGAATTTGCCTAGCTTGCAACAGGTAAACTTGTCCAACAATAATCTCACTGGAGGTGTTCCAAAGTCTCTATTAAGATTCCCGAGTTCGTCTTTTGGAGGTAACAACATTTCTTCTGAAAGTGTCCCTCCTCAGACTTCCCCGTATGTTGCACCCTCTTCTGAACCATATCCGGCATCCAAGAAGTCTGGGAGGCTTGGTGAAACTGCATTGTTAGGAATAATAATTGCTGCTTGTGTTCTGGGGATCGTGGGTTTTGCATTTTTGTTAGTTGTTTGCTGCTCAAGAAGAAAGAGTGATGACGTGTATTCACGGAAGCTGCAAAAGGGAGAGATGTCACCAGAGAAAGTGGTCTCGAGGAGTCAGGATGCAAATAATAGATTGTTCTTTTTTGAGGGTTGTAACTATACATTTGATTTGGAAGATTTGTTGAGGGCTTCTGCTGAAGTATTGGGGAAGGGGACTTTTGGTATTTCTTATAAGGCAGTGCTAGAGGATGCAACCACAGTGGTGGTAAAGAGGTTGAAGGAGGTTAGCGTTGGGAAGCGGGATTTTGAGCAACAGATGGAAGTGGTTGGAAGCATTAGGCATGCGAGTGTGGTTGAGCTGAAGGCATATTACTACTCAAAAGATGAAAGGCTGATGGTTTATGATTATTACAATCAGGGAAGCGTTTCTTCCATCTTACATGGTATGTTGCTTTGTCCAAACCTCTTGTTTCTGTATGATAATAATTAATTTCATTTCATATCTGAAGTGCTGGAAAACAAACTTTTATTGTTTGCAATTTACTCTTCGAATGGTAATGGCCTTGCAAATGACCAATTCTGATACTGTGGGTTCGTTCCCCTGGGTTTTCTCCTAGTCTGGTCTTACCCAACTGAGGATAATTAATAGATAGGACAAAGTACTTAAGATGATTTTATTCTTTTGTATTAAATTCGAATTTCTATACATCACTAAATCTTTATTTTTCTGAGATAGTTCTGATATCTTACTACATTTACAGGGAAATTTTGTCTTTGTGTAAATATTTGTGGTTTATGAATGATGGTGTTAGCAGAAAAGATGATTTATAGATAATAACTAATACGTCTTGGAATCATTTTGATTGCAACCGAAAAAAGAATAAGGGAATAAAAATACTAGATCAGTATTGTCATAGATGCGGCTGGTTTATTAACGTATCAGCCTGTTCTTCATTTTTGAATAAATCGGATATCTTTCAGTTTAGAAAATCCACTGTATCTGATGAATTCAATTAGTAAATGCCACACTCCTGCAACTAAGTTGACTCAACTTTGAGTGGAGATTGTTATGCAAAAAAGATTGAAGTTATTGTCCTCAAAGAAGTTTCTGAATCATTAATGTTGATTTCTGGTTGTGAGAGAGAACATATAATTAAAAACTATGTCACGAATTAGAGTTTGGTGGTACAAGAGGATTTTGATGTCCTTAGCTTCTTTCTTATGGAACACTGTATGATCAATCTTTTAATTCCACTCTCTGACTTTGGTCTTTACTTTGTAAAAGATCAAATAGCTTCTAGATTTATTCACAATGTAAGCTTGTTACAGGTAAGAGAGGAGAGGACAGAATCCCTCTAGATTGGGATGCCAGAATGAAAATAGCAATTGGGGCAGCAAGAGGCATTGCCCGCATCCATATGGAAAATGGTGGCAAGTTTGTCCATGGCAACATAAAGTCCTCAAACATCTTTCTCAACTCTGAACAGTATGGTTGTGTGTCAGACCTTGGTCTGTCAACTATAATGAGCCCACTAGCCCCTCCCATATCCCGTGCTGCTGGTTATCGTGCCCCCGAAGTGACTGACACCCGGAAAGCTATGCAGCCTTCTGATGTCTATAGCTTTGGTGTGGTCCTACTGGAGCTCCTTACTGGAAAATCCCCAATCCATACTACTGGTGGTGATGAGATTGTCCACTTAGTCAGGTGGGTTCATTCAGTAGTTCGAGAGGAGTGGACAGCTGAAGTTTTCGATATTGAACTGATGAGATATCCAAATATAGAGGAAGAGATGGTGGAGATGTTACAAATAGCAATGACATGTGTTGTGAGGATGCCGGATCAGAGACCTAAAATGCCAGAACTAGTTAAAATGTTGGAAAATGTCCGGCATATTGAATCTGAGAATCGGCCATCTTCAGGAAACAGATCCGAAAGCTCAACACCACCAGCAGCAGTGATAAGGAGAGAATCCTAGTCTCGCAAGGAGTCACCATATCCCTCTATTAGAGTCTTTTTCAATTCTTTTTACCTAGTTTAGTGGTGTATTTTTTCTAAAAAAAATTCGTTTTGCCTTTTCCATGAACAAATTCTGTTGAGACTTGTATCACCCGGATCCTGTTAAGTTAGAGTTGGGAGGTTATGCATTGGTGAATCACTCTTCTTTTGATGCGATGAAAGTGGTATGATATGATCTCTCTCCCTCTCCTTCGCCCTCTCTCTATCCTTATGAATATGAAAAGAGCATTTTATTTCAAAGGTCATTTCACCCCTGTTCTGTTGACATTGGTATCTTAAAGTTGGTTAGCAAGTAATTTAGGAATATGACTCTGTCATTTGTCCTTCAGACCTCAACTGCATCAGCATCCTTTCAACTTAATTTGAACAAACAATGACCTCCGACGTCCAAAGGCATGGCATTGCGGGTGTCAATGGACTCTGAGTAACCATGAAAATGCCGCTCTTTTTCTGAAGATCCTTTGATACCAGGACTCAGAGGGAGCCATGCCCGAGCCCCCTTCTCATCTTGTCCAAGTCTTCCACATGGGGGGAGGAGCGTCTCCTTCCCAATTCACAAGGAACATTGAAGCTATTCTCATTTACTTAAAAAAAAAAATGATAAAAAGGTGACAGGAGATGCAGATGGTTACGTACACGTAAAGTATAATGAGCTTTTTCTTTTTCAAAGATATTCAAATTCAAATTCCATTTCCTCCAAATAAAATTGTTCATCTAATTTACGCATATGTACGACTGTAATTGGTATATGTATTGAACAATAACACAATATGAATTAGTGATCGAAATAAGTGCTGGTGGAGACGTGGGACTCGAGAATCTAATCATGAACATTTTCGTGGGCCTCCAACTGATAAAAAAATCGCTAGTCAACCACGCCATGAATGACCATTGCCCAACCAATCCAATAAAACAAAAAACTTACCATAAACTTTTTACCATTTTAATCTACTACTAGTAATTTTCTTTTTCACCTTCTAATCAAATGACTTAGTACTAATGTTTTCTTTAAAGTTGAAAGAGTCGGTATAATTTGTCGATTTTAATGTAATTAAAAAAAGAAAGAAAGGGAAAAGAAACATTAGGCGGTTGAACCAATTGGAGGTCAAAGTTCCCACAATCTAATACTAACTAAAATTAAATAAAAGTAGTATCAAACTAAGGTAAGAATAAGACACAAATTTGGGTCAACCAGTAAAAGCGCAGATAGATAGCAGTGAAGTACAGTAAAAGTAAAACATTTTATTACATAAAAGAAAATCATTCTTACTACAAATTATCGAGTGTGTGTGGGGTCCACCGAGATAGCCAATGAAAACGCAAGACAGCCGGAAAATTGCCTCGTCTTTCTTTTTTTTTTTTCTTTTTAATATTTCAAAACTCTTTTTTCTCGAACCTTTCTTTTTAAGGCCTTTGTTTTTGTCTCTTTATTTTCCTTCCGCGAATTCCAGCTACTAACAAACAAACAATTCCCAGGAGGATCTCTCAGGTACTGGTCTTCCCTTCAATTACATCATTTTTTTTTCTGTTCTCTTTGTCTTTAAATTTTCTTTTTCGAGGTAGCTGCGTCGGAGCTAAGCGATCTACTAGCTCGGATTTTCTTATATTGTTGTGTTATTATTATTATTATTATTATTGTTTTGAATTTCTTTGTTTGTTTTAGGGTTTAGGCGATGGCTTCAAAGCGGATCTTGAAGGAGCTCAAGGATCTCCAGAAAGATCCTCCTACCTCTTGCAGCGCAGGTTCAATTTCTTCTCTCATTTTCCCTGTTTCGTGCCTCGATTTCTTTATTTCTCGCGATTTTTTCTCATCATCCTTTTAGTTTTTAAGTTTTATTTCCGTAGAAAGTGTTTTTGGTTTTTTTTCTTTTGGAAATTTTCTTAAAATTGTGTTTCGTTTTATTTTTTTTTTAGATATTATGAACTATATTAACGTAAGCGATTTATGAAGCTATATATCTGCCTTTGTTATTTTTAAATCATGACATGAGATAATTATTGCTGCATAATTGACCTTTGAGCTGTAGATAATGGATCTATACTTATTGTTAGGGGTGTGATTTTGACCATCATGATTTCATTGAACAAACTGCAATATCTTTTATCATTCTTTTTTTCAAGCTTTTGGTTTACATCATTGGATTCTGTTCGACTCAAGATTGTTAAGACTTTTTTCTTTTTCATTTCTCATTGATTGTTATGATATATATCAATGTTTCGAAGTCAATTTGCGATACAAATTAGTCATAGTCTAAGTGAAGTTGTAAAGAAATGATTAGCAGGCGTTGCAGAAGAATTTTAGCATGTATTGTTTATAAGAACACATCATTGCATCGTCATTTCTGTTGAATATGCAACTTCTTATATTTCTCAAGGCAAATGACAAAGAAGATGAGTGTTTTGTTTAATTTTCATTTAGGAAAAGATTTTGATAAGGTTACTTGCAGATGGGTTATTCCATCTAACTGTTGTTTTACTTCTTTTTTCTTGAAATAAGGCCCTGTTGCTGAAGACATGTTTCATTGGCAAGCAACAATTATGGGTCCTCCGGACAGTCCATATGCCGGTGGAGTGTTTCTAGTCACAATTCATTTCCCTCCGGACTATCCATTCAAACCACCCAAGGTACTTAATTTTATTCCTTAACCATCTCGTTCTCATTCTTTCCTGCCTTCACTGTATATTGTGTAACTGTCTTTAGCTTTTAAAGCATGCAGTATGTCTCTCAAGTGTCTTCAAGAAAATTGCAAAGTACTCTGTAATTCTGCAAGTTCATTATGTCAGCAAGCTAATATTTTTATGACCATCTATACTAGTTGTAGACATGAGTTTCATCTCCTCAGAAATCCAATACGGCTGTTCTTTTAATGTGGTGAATTTCCCTTCCTTTTCCCAATTTATATTTCAACATTTGTTGGGATATGTATTAGAATAAATGCTTAAAGCTTCATGTTATATAGCTAATTCCATGCTGTAAATACTCTGTGACGAAGGTGTCTTTACAGGGTAAGTGGCTTGTGCAAACATTGCTTGGCATCAAAAAGAGTAAATGCTAATTCTACTAGATTGCCTTTTTGCTTTTATTAGCTTATTGCAGTTGCACAAATATTTTTATCTCCATAGGGCATGTATGCGTGCACAGTGGTGCATGCACATGCATGCTGGGTGTCTAATGGTTTAGTTTATGCGTGAAAGGCTATATTAGGTGGTTTTCAGTGCCAAAGTTTACATTGTTATTTTAATTTTTGTAAACAATATCAGGTAAGCCTCCTATGTGACATGCATATGGATTTAGTTATTGCTCCCCACATTTACTATATACTTCTTGGTTAAACAAAAAATATTGTGCATGGATGCTGTGGGAATATATTTATAATTTTATGTGATAATGATGAATATCATTCATTGAAGATAGAATTGCCTCAGATTTATTTTTAAAGGTAATTTGATTATATAACCAATGAACAATGGCTTGTTAATACTGAACTAGACTCTTGTATTTACAGGGAAAACTTATGGTGAAGTTATTTCATACTTCTTTTTTGCCTTAATAGCCTTGTATCATACTTGATTAGTGGCTGATTAATGACTAACAAGTTTCTCTAGTACTTTTGTTGAGATAACCTTTTTTTCTCTTCTTTAATTATTGTTTGTTGACTTTTTAAACGAAAAAAATTTTCCATTCAGGTTGCATTCAGGACGAAGGTCTTTCACCCTAATATTAACAGCAACGGTAGCATTTGCCTCGATATTTTGAAGGAGCAGTGGAGCCCTGCCCTCACCATATCCAAGGTCATTTTTCGAAACCCCTAACTGTGTTGAAGCGTATACATGTTTGCTTTTTAAACATACATTACCATGTTTGTCATCTCCAAGTCAACCATTCTACATGAAGCCATTTAAAAAAAAATGTACTGATTCAACCTCAACATAAAAAGTTACAGCATTAGCATTTAATCTATGGGCCGATTTGTTTGCACTATTGATCATTGCTGCTTTCTATCTGGTTACATTGGTTTAGAGTATTATTCTATCATGTAATCTTTGCTACTGTTTTTTAAGTGTGGGGATGTGTTCTTATTTTAATTTTTGGTTCTAGGTGTTGCTCTCAATCTGCTCACTCTTGACGGATCCAAATCCTGATGACCCGTTGGTACCGGAGATCGCCCACATGTACAAGACTGACAGGAGCAAGTATGAGACAACTGCTCGGAGCTGGACTCAGAAGTATGCTATGGGTTAATGTGCTGCTAAGTTGTAATAGGAGGGCTTCATTCCCCGTGGCTTTGGTCTTTTAAATTAATATGTATGAATCAAATGAATCGATATGTGTGATTTGTCTCCTCTCGTTATTTAGTGGACCAAGCCCTCCTTAAAAACTCATTTGCCTCGTTAATTGGTTGTATGGAAATTATCGTTTAAACTTAAAACCAACTCTTCCAAATCCCCCCCCTCTTTCCATCCTTCCATCCTTTCATTTTCATTCCGGAAAAAGCCAATTAGGTGAAGCATCGGTGTTTCGGCCAACGTGATTATCGAAACTGGAATGCTACTGATGCTTAAACTGACGATCGAGTATCCTGTTTGTGCATTTGTGCACGCTGCAACGGTTAATTCTTAGACGGTGGCCCCTTCACGCGGTCCGTCATGATACCTTGCCAGCCCAGATTAAGACAGGAGCAAAGGAGTCGGGCCAGCCCGTTGGGTGGGTAGCCGGTATGGCTTTGTGTGAATGCACTCAGCCCATTTCAGTAGTCTCGTTTGAAAAATATAAGAACCGAATGTTCGTGTCTTCGGGTTTTTAATGATCATGCAAGTAAGAGCAGGCGCAGCACGTCCATTTGTACTTAGACCCAATGTTACAGGCAGGATTTCAGATACATTGTTTTGACGAAACTTTTTGGTAATTGGAAAAACAATTGGAGACAACAACCGGAGATTGCAATGGTTCCTGGTTAAAGTTCTAGCTTCTACATTTCTACTCTTAGCCTTTTTTTTTTTCGAAAAGCAAAAGAAAAATATTCATTAAGAGAAAAGGGAAAGAATTCCCCAAAAGAGAGACAACTGCCTCCAAATAACATCCCAGAAAACTCCATTTTCCCTAGACTTAAAAGACAAAAATCAGCATGCCGAAACAAATCAAACGGCATTCGTCTACTCTTAGCCCTGGACCAAATCTTCGTCTTCCCTTTTAATTCTACCCTGGTTTCTGCACGCAACCAGCTGGCTAAAAGAACAATGTTAAAAGCAGCTAGGACACTATAGCCAGCATCAGATTTTTCCACGTCCCTTGCTTACAAGGAGTGAAAAAACAACCACAGATTTTGTCAAGTCGCAGAGGGGAGTAAAGTTGTTCTGGTCTCAGACATTAATGGTGGTCGTCCTCGTTTTTGGCCTTCGTTGTTGTTGTTGTTGTTGTTCTACTATCGGAGTAATGATTTTGCCCATAATTGTTCAAAAACTGACACCCAAAAATAGAAGAAAAGAAACAAGAGAAATTATTTACTTTCTTTGCTCTGCCATGGTTCTTTTATTATCAAATCTACCCCTAAATGTGGCTAACAACTCAAAAACTGATAAAAGGAAAAAGGAAAAAAACTTCCAAGTTCAATGTTTGTACATGACTGAAAACTAGCGTAGACGAGAGCTATGGTGAGAAGTAACCCATGTCGATGAGCGCACATCGTTCAAATTTACTCTTCTTGTTTTTGTCTTGATGTTTCCTCTTTCCTGCACAACATGACAAAAAGGTTTTGCCAAACATGGGTTGAGTTACAATCTAGCTTGAAAACCTGTGCCCACAAAATCCCACTTGAGCTTCACCTTCTCTCTTAGGCTTTTTCTTTGTTCTCTCTTTTAAACATTCGAGAATGTGACGTTTAATGCCTTTGAAAAAGGTCTCAGTAGGAAGGTTATAAAATTAAACTTAACATTAATATTTATTCAAAAAACATCAGTCTGGCCACTGGACTGAACCACTTCCCCAGCCAACGTTTTGGCTTTTTGTATTTAGTATCTTACCTATCTTCATAAACATTTACAAAGTAATAATCTTATACACATCCTATCCTACAGATCCTACTTATTGCCTGACCATGTGACCTATTCCAGCACATCTCCAACTTGTCTCTCCAATTTTCATTTTCTTTCTTTGTCTCAATTGTGATTTGTCCCAACTTCAAAATAATAATAATAATAATAATAATAATAATAATAATAGTAATAAGAGTATTAATTTCTTCAAATTCCTAACTACAAAAAATGGGTCCAAGAAAAAGAGTACGAAAACCAGGTTCGAGCATTAAACAGGAAAAACTATTAGAAATGTGAAAAAGTTTGAGCATTTTTAAAAGAAAGCCAATGGAAAATGCCTTAACTACAAATTGTATGACTTAGCGTCACGATCTCTAAAATGAATTATGAATCTTATATTGATTGTATATTAAAATAAAATTGGGTATTTAAGTGTTCGACTATCATCATTTTGTAAGTCATCTTTTGTAGGATAAAATCGTGAGTCTTGATGTGTCAAGTTGGTGTGAGTCGTGATATTTAGTGTCACCGTTCCAACGAGAGGATGTATGATCCCAAAGAATAGCCATAAATTTTACATGGAGTCTGTACTAGAGTAAAATTGAAGATTTAAGAGCTCACATTATCTTCAACCTATGAGGTATTTATGAGATAAAACCATGCAACAATAGCTCAAAATAAACAATACTTTACATATTAGTGTGAACCATGATAGTTAATATTAGTCATCTCCTTCTGAGATAAAACCATAAGATCAATAAATCAAAATAAATACAATATCTTACATACATCATGTCAACAAAATATCTTACATATGTCATGTCATGTTCCAAGCGTATTAGAGTGAGATTTGACATTTTCTAACGTATTAGAGTGAGACTTGACATATTATGATTGTACAAGTCATGCCATGATTTCAATGTATTAAAGTGAGACTTGACATGAGATTGATCCTAATATATTAGAGTGAGATTAGACATTTAAAAGGGTCACACCATTTAATGTGAACAAAAGCACCTGAAAAGCCTTTTTTTTTTTTTTTTTTTTCATCATCTATGGAGGATGCTGGGAAAGAAACAAAATTCCAGGAAAAGTTAATGAAAGGTTCTCAGTTCTCAACGGTTAATCTGGCCACTTAATTAGGAGATCTGTTCAAAAAGAAAGAAAAATAAAAGAAAAAGGGTAGAGACATTGGTAACCCTGAAAGCAAGGGGTCAAACCATGCCCTGCATCAACACTGCATTATTAATAAAATTTTTTGATTCCCTATAAATGAAAAAGAGAAAGAAAGCAAGCAAATAAGAGCTTACTTGTATCTCAGTTCAAATTAAATATTTATATTATTCTTTTTATATAGGGCACTGTGACCCATGTCTTTTTATGTTTAACAACATTGCGTTTGGATTCTTTGAACAAAACCCATGCATCCTCCACTCTGGTTTTTCCTTCCTCCTTTTTGTCTTTAAACAATTGCACGTGTAAAGCCCCCTCCCGGCAAAGGAGACGTGCACACGAGTTGGAAAGGGCTGTGAACCCTGAAAATCGGGTCTCTCCCCAACCCCCTAATTTAATCACCATTTAAATGAACAAGAGCTTGTCTCTAATGAGGACAGGAGCGACAAGCTACACTCGAAATATCTCAGTTATGGATGACGTTGCATGTCGAGACAAGTCGGCCACATGTACGCCGCTCAGGTTGCTGCGGTGGAAGTGTCCTTTTTTTTTCTTTTTTTGAGTTCTGAAATGATTCTGTAATCATCACTCTTGAGTACATCCTAATCATGCGATAATTGAATCTCTTTGTCTTTCCACTTTCATTTTATCCCCCTTATCTTTTAGGATGGCATGTTCCACCCATCTTTTTCCAGGCTACCAAGCACGTTTTTTGAATCTTAAGTCCATAGATGGGAGTTGTCACGAATCATGATTGTGCTATGCCTATTTGCAATTATAAAAGACAAATATGATGTTGATTGATGCTAAAGTTTTTCCAACAAGTGCATGTTCTTGGGGGAGGAGGGAAGGAAATAAGCCATGACCCAGAAGCTAAACATTCCTCCAAATTTTACTTGCATTTAAAGCTAGTCAATCAAAACTTAAAAATTTAACATTTTTGGGTACTTGAATTAATGCGTTAGTTACTCATCCAACTAAAAACTTTCATCGAGAATTCTTTTTCATATTTTAATTTTTAACATATGATTTAATATAATATGTCAAGAATTCATATTAGTAAGAAATATAATAAATTTTAAATTTTAAATAAAGATTTTTTTTCACTTATCAAATATGTTTTTTAATTTAAAAATATAAACTTATAACAAATGATATCAAAATAAATTTTAAATGTTCATTTACGTCGAAACTCAAACTAATAAGAAAGTTTTATATTTTTAAATATATTTATTGAGTTAAAAACGTAGACCTGTCACATAATACATCTATCTATCTCTTATTTCTTTTACTTACTTTTACACCTTAACTAAATCATAATCTTCATGGATGAATGAATTTGATTTTGATTTTGATTTATTTTATTTTATATTTTGTTGTTTAGTACCATAGGCCTTAACTAATTTATAAACAAAACCTATGGTTATGTTGCAACAAGTACCATGCTATTATCCAATTTTAAAAAAAAAAAAAACGGAAGAGAAGTCAACAAATTAAAAGAAAAGAGTATTAATTATGGTGAGGATGGAACATTTGAACCTAACCCATTAAAGAGTTTCAACATAAATTCATAATGTTTCCCTTACCTAAACCCTGAATTTGAGGCAATTGGACCTTCCTTTTCAAGTACAGTCCACCTCACAAAGGGGAAATTTTTTTGAACTAGTTTGTTTTTGACAATTTTCCAGGAACACACTGCGATGACATTTAAAGAGTGCTGAACTGTACTGGTGTGGAAGAAGCAATAAATGGATTCGGTGGAAATCATTATACATTCGTCCGCGTACGGAGTCCACGTCAGCTGAGATGTGACAACGTACACTTGTCCGTCTTTGGACTCGAAAACAGTGAGCGGCGCCGGTTACGGGTCGTGAAAAAGACCATTTGGGTTCTGGCCGGTCAATTTATTACCTTCGAGTCGCGAGACAGTACCCGTACGGTTCGTTAAGGGCTTAAATGATCAGCATAACCCACACCACTTCCTTGTAAAACAAAATAAACAGAAATCAGGTAATAAAATGGTATTAAACTTTTAAAAAAATCTAATTATTAATAATAAAACCATATAGGTAAATTTATTCTCTTAATTTTGCCTAAAATTGCCGGTGAAGCCCCAAAAATATTCACAAAATTGTTTTATTAATATAATTAGAATGAAGGAATAAAAGAAATGACAAGCAAAAAGGGGTGGAGGGGATAAGCTAAATAACAATAGACACGAACA